AACCAAAATGCCTGTATATCCCAAGGTTTTACATTTTATATCAAATCTGAGAATGGGGTTTATTAAGGAATACCTCAATCTAATTTTAATGGGTGCTATAAGAAACTGATTTACAATTAACAGTACCCCTGCCAAGTCTCAGCAAAAGAAACCACATCACTGCTACTGAAGCCGGTTAGCAGCTTACTCACTTGGTCTGTGTGGTCACAGACAGACCCTACATTGCTCAGATTGGGAGGAGAGCCAAGGTGCCATGATGCCACCAAAAACATTGTCCTTTGAGTACCAAGATACAAAACACGCAGGTGAGAAATGTCTGTTCTCCTCTCTAGCCTCCATCTTCTTCTACAGGCTATTTTCACAGTGTCTGTGTAACCAACCGGTCAAAAGGAGTAATAACGAGGGCAGTTACTTTCCAGGAGCGATTCTCATGTTTAAAAAAAAGTACCGTTTTTGTGAACAGTTCGCTGGAGCCTTAGGTCACCCCCCCCACCCGCCTTCTAACAGCGATAATAATAAACTATAATAATTCATCAGCAGCAAGAACTAAGAGTAGAATAATTGTATTCTGTGCCAACTGGGTGCCATTGGAAAGGAAAGTGGCTGGTGAAAAGAAGCCCAGCAGCAACCGGAGGGCATGCAGAAAGTACGGAGAGGGGGGTTGGAGAACTTTGACATGACCAACTTGACAAGGAGGAGAGGGAAGACGCTGCTTTGCCCTAGCAAAAACAGAGCCTTCAGCAGCGGGGTGATATGAGAGAGCGCTCTCGCTCTCTCTCTCTCTCTCTCTCTCTCTCTCTCTCTCTCTCTCTCTCTCTCTCTCTCTCTCTCTCTCTCTCTCTCTCTCTCTCTCTCTCTCTCACACACACACACACAGAGAGAGAGAGAGAGAGAGAGAGAGAGACTAGGAGCTCAGCCATCCCGTCTCCCGGGAAACACCAATCACCGCTCGCGCCTGAGAGGCAACCGGTGCTTCTCTCTCTCTCTCTCTCACACACACACACACACACACACACACAGAGTCTGGTCCTGCCCAGCGGCCCGTTCGCTCTGTCATTGCTACGCCACTCCTTAAAGCAAACGCAGAAAAGCAGCGGCGGCCTCAGCAACCTCCCTCTTTCCACGCCGAGCGCGCTTCCTGCTGAACTCGCCTGCTAAGAGTTTCCCGAGAGAAACGCGCGCACTCAAAACTAAGCTAATATCCCGAACTCACACGTTGGAAGAATCAGAGGTGCCGCCGCCGCCGCCGCCGCCAAACGACCTACTTCTTTGCCCGTTTGATCTTTTGTATTGTTTTCTAAACATCTTTGCAGGTGACTCCCTGCTCCTTTCTCGTCCCAGTAGCCCCGGGGTATTAAGCACGTCGCGGGAATTCAGCGGGGCAGCTGCCGACGCCCCTTCGCCACTTCCCTGCTCTGAATTGTCTTCCGCACGTTTCATAAAGGGCTGCACTAAGATCACATTGCACTGTGCGAGAGCACAACCAGCATGGAGTCAGGGTCAACAGCAGCTGCCGCAAGGAGCCAGTCTCTGTTCCTCAGGCCCCAGCACAGAAGGACCTTTTGGCCCTCCTCGTGGGCGAGAGGGACCCAGGGCTCTCCCTCCGGGCTTTGGTTCCCTGTTCCGAAGAAGCTCCCTGTCTTTCCTGTCCTCTGTGACTCTTCCAGTAGGAACCATGACTAAGGAAATGTGGCCTACCCTGAACACGCAGAGAAGGTTCACCTGATATAAATGTGCTGGGCAGAAAAAGAAGAAAGAATAGAGTTTTACACTCTGAAGGACAAAGCCAGCTCACCCTGACAACAATCCTGCAAATCATGGAAGCCAGTGGGACTAAGGAGGCAAATTTTAAGCCTGCTTAGTTGAGAATAAGCTACCTTCTGAAGGATCATGTGTAGGATTTGCACATCTGTTTCAACCCACCTACTTCCAGTCAGCTGGATGGAGCTATTAAAGCTCTAACCCTGGAATAACAGATGGATTGCTCCAGGAAATGACATAAAAATAATGAATTAAACACTACTCTTGACAAAATCCACTGAGACAACATGTAGGTATATTTCAAGTGAAAATTAAACCCCAAATAACTCAAGATTTAAGATTTCAAAATTCCATGTTATTACTATAACAACAAAAACAAAAACAAAAACAACAACAACACAGATAGAGATGGTACATGTGCCATAATCATGAAATGTACTCCATGACAGTTTAAATAATCTCAAGACTCAGATGACACATTTTTGAAGCGTGATTTCACCTTTTCTTCCTGCCATCATTACTCTCTGCTTTCTACCTCCACTAGAATTTCTGTCTTGACCAACCTTAATTAAATGAGAAACAAAGACATAATTCCACTAAATCAACCACTACATTGACAGAGAAGCACTGATGGAACAACACAGTAAAACGTAAAAAGTTTGTGGGATACTTGTTTAAAAGAAGCCAAAATGAACCAATACAAGTAATTGTTTGTGTATGGGCCCTATATAGCCATATCGTTTCAACACAGCCCCCTAATTTCCTCTTTCTTTACCTAAAAATAAGCCAGAGTGGAACATAATTCTGAATAAGTGCAGAGAAAAGCAGGCTTTATGTTCTGTTTTCTTGCTGTGTGTTGAACAGGAGGACCCTATGCATCTGCAGAACAATTCTCCCAGTATCATCTAGACCTGCAGAGATGTCTAAAAACATGGATGCTTTTGACATGCTATTATGAATGAAAGCATGTTTTATGCCCACAGCTAATGTACTTTACTCCACTGGATGAAGTCCTTAAGGAACCAAGGTCAATGTCACATACTCTTTGAAGTTCAATATCTGGATGATTTGAGGGCTATTTATTTATTTATTTATTTATTTATTTATTTATTTATTTACCTATTTACTTACTTACCTACTTACTTATTACCACTGTCATCCAAGTAGTCAAAATGTATAAAAGATTAAAATCTTGTATATAGTCCAACTGCATTCATCTAGGCTTAGTCAGAAGTAAGAGGGTATAGAGTTGCACTGAAAGGCAACCACATATTTTAGCATAAAGTTTTGGCAAGCTATTTTGACTTCCTTCTCAACAAAAAAGCTGGCAAACAAAACCAACAAGAGCATTATGCAATAGTTTTATAAAATACTCTTTTTTCCACATAACTTCTTGTTGACAGCTACAGTGTTCAGCAAAAACACTCATGATCACTAGGCTTTAATGTCATGTAAAGGAAGAAAGGAAATATAGCAACACTAACAAAGTAGCAGAGAATCAAATAAAAATTGAAAGGCACAAGAAACCACAGCTAACATTATAAAATACTAAGTTTTAAAAAACAAAGAAAGTTGTCTGGTCCTTAAAAAAAAGAAATGTGTTAGAGGTGACACCTTTATTAGTCCACTTAAAAAACAAACAACCAGCAAGCTTTCATGAGTCAAGTCTACTTCTTCAGGCCATGCACCAATATTGCAGAAAAATTAAAAATGAGAGTCCCAAAACTTTCTGGCAGAAGTCTGCCAGGTATGATTAAGATAATGTGTTGTTGTGTTTTTTTAAAAAATATATTTTTCATCTATCAGCCTTTTTAAAGATCTGTCTCTTATGCTGCCAATAGATTCTGGGAAATGATCAATCAAGCCATGAACTGTTTGGATCCATCATAAATTATGATTATCAAATTTTGAAAGGAAAATTTGCTCGATGCTGTTGACATACTTAATTCTATATGAGCAAGCCCTGCCATTCTCCCAAGTCCAATGAATAAGCTCTTTCCCACTATGTTTTTTTGTCAAGCTCACTCTAAGTAATATTCAAGAAAATACATTAAATGAAGTAAACTAAAGGGCTAACCACAGCAAACTTTCTAGAATATTACTATGATGCCAGTCAGTTGAAAGCCTTCCCCACCCCCACTCCCTAGAATATGAACTATTTATGCTATTTATTTTCTGGATCATTTAAGAAGAAGTTTTGCAACTTGAACTTCTCTACAAAGGATTATACTAGCTCTATCTCAGCAGTTCAAACTCCCAAACTGGGAGTGGGGCAGCTTGCTTGTCTGAAATAACTTTTAAATGAATACTTTTTAGTTGCTTTTTTTGTTATGTTGTGCATTGTACAGCCTAGCAATGATATTAGTTCTAGTGTGGGAAAATATTATAATTGAGATCTGGTAAGTTATTTGCAGACTTCAAGTTTTTCTTTACACTGTGCTGACATTTAGCATAGCCCCAGTGAGGAAAACAATACTGCCATTCATGGCTCTAGACGTAGGTTTCAATCGACTTAAGCGGGCACAATGAAACTTGGTCATTCACTGGTTTCCCATATTGTGTTCTCAAATTTTCTCTCAGCAAAAGTATAATGACTCAGTATTGTATGGCTGCATAGACAAGGGCTCAGAACAAGAGACACTAGTTTTGTCTGACGGTGTGAGAAAGTCGTGAAGGGATCTTTTCTTCCAGATGGTGTTAAATTCAGCTGCCTTTTTAACATTGGCCTTGCACAGCAATCTGCTGCTCCCTTTTCAAAAGGAATGAGACTTGGTTCCCACTAGTTAACATGCATACTCACGCAAGCCTGCAACTTCACTCCAACTGTTTTACAATGCAATGGTATGCTAAATAAATTTGATCTAGGCTCTTCCACTGTTAAAGCTACCCTTCAAAGGACTATTCAGATTATATTTATACTTCTTTGGACTGGGCCTTCTGTTTGCAGGCTGTTTCAAGTTCTAAAGAAATATCATCTTAGTGCTACAAAAAGTTATTTTGACTGAAATGGCAAACTTAATGAACTCTCCCCCACAATTATTAGAAGCTGGAGTATGTGAGATACAAATTTTAAAAAAATAACCCAACTTGTGTCAAATCAGTGGAAGAGAAATAAATAAATAAAATAAATAAATAATAATGAAATAACATTAAAATGTATTTTATTGATTGATACTCATGTAACATTATCATGATACAAAGCAATTCTGATATGACAATGGTAACACAGAATTATAATATCATAAAACAAAACAAAAAAAATCCTTCAGTGCTTTCCTTAAAAAATTTACAGAAAAGGCCAAAATGTGAGAGCTTATTCTGTAAAGGAAAAGTAATTTCACTTCAAGGAATGTTTTTCACTAAACAAAAGATTCCCCAGAAAACATCTTATTGCCTTAATTGAACCACTTTGAGAAAGAAAACCATGCACTTTGTAATGTAAATGTTAATAGTAGTAGACAATGGCCCTAGGTAAACAGTACCCCTGGACATGCAGTAAAGAAAAAGCAGAAAAGTGCTTAACAATGGAAAGCTATTGGCACAAACAGAACTTCTAAAGTAAATAAACAAGATTGTTCATTGGTCACTACAGTAGTAAACTGTGGCACGTGCAGAACAGCCAAAATGAGCCCTTTGTAAACAGTCTCTCTCCCTAGTTTCATCCAAAATTAAGTGCAAAGCTACTATTAAAACTCCTCAAAACTAACTCCTAACAAATCATTCATGACTTTAGTTTTAAGCCATAACCTTAATTTTATGGAATTATCAAGACAAAAATAAGGCAACCTGTATGTCAATATTGATAAATTAGTTATTTTGTGCACATGCACACACACAAATATACAAGCACACATTAAAACATACACTTTTTGTACCATTTCATTTTAGCTTCTAATTCAGAAGGGAACCCTAAACCAAGCCAAAACATCAAAATTCAAATATTGTGTGCATTTACTTAGGAAAGAACCCCATTAATTTCTGTTGCTTTTCCTTCTGAGTAATATACATGATGGGATTGTAAATATGAGTTGGCTGTCACTTTTATCAAGTGTGATGAGTCTGCTTTGTCATAGGGGCAGCATACCTGGGGCAACTCACCAAAATAAATGGATTTAAATTTTACTTCTGTCTCCCCAGCACTACAGCAAACTATGTAACTGTAATGACTCTGTGAGCCTGTGTGATGTGACATTTGCAAGGCCAAAAACTGAGTCCTTGTCAATTTGTCCTGGAGATATATAACCACTTTCCTTTCTACCGGCTCTGTTTTGCCTTTTTCTTTTGTAAGCTGAGCCCCAGAAAATTTCTACCCCAGAACCAAAGCTATATTTAATTATGAGTAGCTGAAACAGTAGTTACAGAATTAACAGAAAGAGACAGTCTGCAGCCACAGAACAGTTGGGGTTCCCACTTGGGAGCCTGCAGATGGCTGTGGGTGGGAAATGCCTCTACTTTCTTAAGGGATGGAGATGAGTCTGGTATGGTGCACTTGATGTTTTTTTCATACGGCAACCCCCAACAGGGCTGTCTGTCATAGGCTGCCGGGCCATAGCATTGCCACTTGCCCCCGAGCGTGGGAATGGGAGCGTCCAGCCGTTCACATCTCAGACATTCCGTTTAACGGAATCAATTAGGCAGGACCAAACCCTCCGATTCCCCCCTTCCACCCCCCCTTTTTGGTCAGGTCTATATACGTCCTAATTATTTCTGTTTGGGATGCCAGAACAGTTTCCTAGATAGATCTGATCATCCTTAAACAAGAAGAGAGGAGGCGCACACGTGGGTTTTGGAGTAAATGTCACTTTCATTTCCAATGCTAGCTGCCGAATAAGACACACACTACTTTCTAACATTTTGACAAGGCGGAGGGAGGCAATCTCATCTCCATCACGTATTTCTGCTTCAGTAGCTTCCTCAAGGAAACCCTCTTGGAACAGAGAAGCATCTATGCTTGCATTTTGAATAGAAGACTGTTTCCTCCCCCCTCCTTTTTTATATCAAATGTCACGTCTCCCCACCCCCACCCCGCTCCATGTTGTGGAAGCATACCAGATCCTTAGCAGACAGACATTATTAACCTCTTCTTCCTGTTCAATCCACATTTTTATCCTTTTAAAGACATTTAATTTTGCGCAGTAGGCGCTTGTATACACGCTCACTTCAACTTGCGTCCCTTGACACAACATTACTCCTAACACTTCATAACTTTAAAAAGACCTCACAAGACAAAGTTAATCACATTCTGTTGTCTGAAAGACACACACTCCTTAATTTTTAAGTTAAAATCAAATTCACACAATGCCACGGTTCTGTTTTCAAACACAAACTTGTTATATCTAAAATGTTCATCAAAAACTGCAATCCTATTTGCATTAACTTAGAAGCAAGCTTCACTGAACTCAGTTGAGCTTACTTCTCAAAAGGCATGCACAGGATTGTGCACAGAACAACAATTACATCCCACCTTCCCAGAGAACAGCAAAAAAAACTTGCACATGCATTTGTTTACCATAAATACCATATCCTCTTTGCAGCGTATGGTTTATTCTTCATCATCCTGTGCCTGGCATGTTGTACATGTTTATATATGTATACATATGTACTTGACACACATATGTCTTTACATTTCCTCCTCTTTTTCCTCCTTGAGCTGCAGAAATGAGCCATTCAATTAATAAGCATTCCTGCCATGCCTGGGTTTTTAGTGTCCCCTTGCTGGAGCCTCTCACTTCTTTGTGCAGCGCGAAGATCATGAAGGAGTTTTTACTTTCGGTTATCTAGCTTTATGAAGACCAACACACTCATACAGCTAGATAACCAAAGATAACAACTCACTTCCGTCTTATGATCACTTGGGTTGGGGGAGAAGAATTTCTGCTCCCTCTTTGCTACAATCCAGATTGTTTCTGCTGACAGACTTTCCCAAGAACACCAGGCATGCTTTAAAATATTCATCCTTTTAAAGTACTGTAACAGTGAGTTGATTCAGTATGTAGAGTAGTAGTGTGTGCTTCCGAAACACATTCCAAAGTTTGTTGCCTTCAAAGTTTTATTCCGAACTTTTCTCTTCTCTTTCTCTCCCTTTCTCTTCCCCTCCCCACTCTCAACTCCTTTCAAGCCAGCAATTTCCGGCAGCGATGGAACAACTATTCATCTGTTAATATCAAAAAATAAACCCAGCTATTAAGGTGCATCAAGCTGTTCAGAGTGTGAAACATCCATCCCTCCACAGGCCTCTATTTGCATTGTAAATGGTTCATTCTCAGGCAAAAAGCCTTTAGCCTCTGTAAAGGTGTAAAGCCATCGGCAATTTCCAGCGCAGAGTACGGAAGAAGAGAGGGGAGAATCCCATTTCGGCAGAATTGACAAGACGATGGTGTTGGTGTGGTGGTGATGCGAAGATCCAGCTCTCCTTCCTGATCCTTTTTTGGATTATGCATCACAGAGCGTTTTAAGAATTCTTATTTTAACCAAATGGTGGCAGCAAATATCTTGCGGGTTTGGGGGTGGCGTGGCAGGGGAAGGAAACAACCTGGCAGATCCACGGTTTCTCAAGGTCCCCAGAGCTGGGCACGAGGAGCTGCAGGTCTCGTTGGCTGGCTTGCTGCTGCTGCTGCCCCCGGTCTGAAAGAAGGAGAAAAGGGCTATCATTGGAGGGCTCGCAGTGCCAAAATGTGGACCAGCCCGGCAAGGTCAGAGGTCCTCGACCGCGGGGGACCAAGGTAATGATGATGTAACGGGAAATCTCAAGCACACCCGGTAATAGATACGTATGAGCGATTAGCAGCCTGCCCCCTCCGCGCCATCAGCGAGAGCAGCGGCAACGGCGGCGGCGGCGGCAGCAGCGGCAACGGCAGCGTTGGAACCATCCCTGCTCCCCAACCAGCCAGCACAGCAGTGCCCTCCCTGAGAGCTACGGGGTGGGGGTGGGGGATGGATCGCTGTCCGTTCGTCCGTCGGTCCATCTCTCTCTCTCTCTCTCTCTCTCTCTCTCTCTCTCTCAATCCGCGGCCTTTTACCTTCACTCGTTGCTAACGCAGATCGCTCTTATATCCAAAGCCTGGACGGAATCTCTCTAAGGAGAGATAAAAGCGTTCCAGGTCGGGGAGGCGGGGAGCGGTGTTGAAAACCGGGGGCGGGGGGGGCGAGGGAAGGGGTGGTGGTGAAGACAAGCGCCTTCGCCTGCGTTTCTCTTCCAGCGGACTCGGCATGCGCTGGGCAGGGGGCGAGATGGGAGAGAAGTGTGGTTGAACGAGGCACTCCTTGGTGCTGCTCAAGGCAGGGCCTTGCCGTTTACTGGGACTTGGAATCGGAGCTGCCCGTTATTACGCAGCGATTGGAGGTGTCATCGCATTGATAACTCGCTCTTCCCCTCGTCTCGCGCTTTTTAAATGGCTTCACTTCTCCCTCCTGCTCTGTGTCTATAAGCCGGTGCCCCGAGTCCTTGGACCATGGCGGTGGTGCAACGCAGTGGTCTGGGTGGTAAGGCTGGGAACGCTACAAGCGGCCGGCGCCTCAAGCCTCCTTGCTAGCTATGTTTCTGTTCTGACCAAACACCCCTCACCTCCTCGCACATACCCACACTTCGCTTCCTTCGCTGCCCCTCCCACTTTGGAATGCAACGCAAGTAAACATGTGGCATTCTTTGCAAAAAATAAGTATATAAATAAATAAAGACATCTTCTTTGCAACAAATAAGTATATAAATAAATAAAGACATCTACAGTATATCGTTTGTAGATGTGATCTGCGTTGTTTTTCAAACTTCCAACCCAGGCTAAAAAGCAAGGCACAAAACCCAGCAAAATGCTCAGGAAGCTAGCCAAGCTAGTGTTCAATCCTGGATGATTAAAATACTTTCTGTGGAGTCTTAAGAGTTGGCTCTTTTCCATTCCCTAACCTCCAAAAGGAAAAAAGGGAAGGGGGCAAGAGACACTACCATGTGCATTATTTAGCAATGTTTTCAGGGTGCTATTTTTTCCATTGTAAAGAGTAACATTAAGGTCCCCCTTGATTATATAAGACACAGTGAATCTAATGATAGAGATACCAGAAGGTAAAATTAAGAAATGTGCCCCAATGGTTCCTCCATATCGCTGTTAGTAAAGGATGCACATATAAAAATCAGCAGAGCTATGCTGCTGTACATAGTAAAGAAAGCAGAAGCCCTGTATTGCCATTCTCTTTAGAGGTAAAATGTAACAAAATACACTGTACTGTTCAATATGGCATATGGTTCAAAATGTTAATAGGATAATGCCCAGAGTGAGAGTAAGCAGGCACATTTCCTATGCTGTCTTAAATATGCATAGGCTAACATTTTTCTCTTTCACATATTGAGCAATGGCTGCATTAGTATATATACACCTACTTCTAGCTGTGTACTATAACCAGCCATCATCACAATATTAACCTGATTATATGATGCTAATGTGCTTGCCAGTATATAAACAACTGTAAAGCAATGTCACAGAAGGCTAAAATGTGTAGGATATTTGAAGGGGGGGGGGAGGATTGAAGGGGGCCAGTCTAATTGCTGGCTGAAGAGGAATATTATCATGTACTGTATACAGTCAAAAGAAAAACAAAAGGAAGCAAGTACAAGACACAGCCCTGTATTAATGTATTTAAATACTATCTTAAAGTTCTTATAAATGTTCCCAGTATATCAAACAATATATTTATATGTGACAATACTATTGAGCAGCTATTTTCTGTGCTACTAATGATGGGTATAAGGAAATATATGCTCTGAGAGATACTTGGCTTATGGCACCAGTAGTATATTATGCGGAACTACATTATATGATCAGGTAAACAAAATTGTGCGAATGCCTGTGAATAGACAACATGGCACTCCTTTACTGTCTAAGGCTGCATAGGTATCATGCGGACTTAAATGAACTGGACAGTAATATTTAAGGACACATTATCATTCTGATATCATGTAGAACTCTAATGATGTTCTCTGAATTGGCAGATACATAGACCAAAGTCATCTCTTTTCCCCCTCCCTCATTTACTTTGCAATAGCTAGAGGCAGTAGTGTGAGTGATTGGGCATGTATTACATAGACCAGGCTTGTGAGGTGATGCATTAAAATTGAAGACAAGATAACATGTGGCTGTATATGTACATACAGTATCTAGGATGTTCATGTGAGGAGATCACATGTATTGACATATATGCATTTATGCACACACACCTGCATGCATTTAAATTGATTATGGTTCAAGAGACAGGTCTTGACTGGCTTATTGTGGCAGTGACTTCCTGATCCACTAAATTCAATGGATCTTCAGCTACCATTTACTTCAAGCATACTAAACATTGCTTAAATAGTTCCAATACTTTGGGGAAGGATTTTCACTTAAGAACTATATCCCAACCATTGTACAGCAAGAAATGTCTCATCTGTGCTATTCTGCAGATTGATAGTTGTGGAGCCCCATGATGTAAAAACTGTTAGTGTCATGATTATGACCTTGCTGATCATTAGCCATGGAAAGAAAAACACTTCCTCCTTCTTAGTTGACTTAAAGGGCTCTAGAAAAGCTATATATACTCACTGGCACTGTGATTCTGACCTAATCATACAGAAGATAGTCAGCTGATTTCAGCTGGATTTCTAAATAGTTTCGTGTAGAACTAGTGTGTAATCCAGGATATTAAATACTTGACCTCTCTGAATTTGAATAGAGTTTGTGCATCAGTTGCTTTTTTCCCCATATGCTTTGTAATTTTATATCTACATTTTGGTTTTGTTGCATTTAAAATTGCATTTAGGTAAAAGAAAATGATGCTACCTTAAATGACCCTGGCCCTGTTTGTTCAGGTTGCCAAGAACAAATGTTTCTCATATCACTATTATGTTTTCTTTTTAATTATAGGTGTTACTCATGCACCTATTCTTTTTAAGCATAAATTCTTTCATCAAGAATTGTGGCATCCCTATCTAAAAATAATCTGTTAAAAAATCCTGAATCCTAACACTCGGTACTACACTTGCCTGTCCATCTTTCTAATAAATGTCCATTAATGGGCTGTAGATTTGGATGTGATTGCCTTGCTTGTTTTCAAAATCTCTTTATAGGTCTCCAGATGGTTGTGACGTAATGGCGAAGCATTCTGCAAGGATTTCTTTGGAATAAACAAGCACTGTTTACCAGAGGTTGGATTGCATCTGTTCTTTCTCCCGAGAACCAAGATTCTGTTTTGGGGCTGATTCCTCTGGCTTCATCAGCACTGCAGCACCGAGCATGAACTGTTTAAGCAGGAAGCCTCCAGCAAAAGTGTATTTACAATTATGGTTCTGAAGTGCTTTATTCCTTTTCTCCCTCCAAATCTCTGGTTCTTATGTAATTCTGTTAGACATAACATACATTCCAGTTCTAGTAGTCTAACAGTTCCTAGGTTAAAACCATAAAATGGCATGTATTTACACATCCTAAGAAGCCTCACTGTGTCTGCCTCACTGCTTTTTAATAAAATTCAGTTGCCTCTTTCTATATCTCCTTCTACAAGTGACATGCAGATTCAAATTTCTGCAGTATTAGCACACATAATAATAGCAAGGGAACCACAAAACATACAAGGGACTGAAGACATTGTACAATAGTTGTGATAACAGTTTTTTGGAAAACATTTCTAAATAGCAAATATTTTGCTCTTTTGTTATAAATTATGAAAAATATATCAAATTTCTGCATTACTATTAGATTGGTCTTTTTTAATTACCTTTTTTGTGTGATTGTCATGCCGTATCATTATCTCCAGATGTCTGATTCTGAAAATAGACCAGATTGAGAAGGGAGGGAGGAAAGAAAGATTGAATGATTATTAAAAGAGCTATGACAATTTAGGTTTCCTTAAAGAAAATTCTCAATGGTGTTGCAACAATAACAATATCAAGCAGTTTACTGAAACCTACAGGCACATTCTCCCAGAAACTTCTCATGAGTAACTACCACAAAAATGAATGAACTGAACAAGGACATTAAGGGTTTATTTCCCATGGGTATATAAAGAAGAACTTTCTAGTGGATTGTGTCTCATGGCTCCCAACTACATAGCCAACATAATTCCCCGTATTTTCTTAAGAAATCATTGTACATGAAAAGGAACATAGATGGGAATGAATAGTATTTCACAGTCTGAAGAGTTAAATGCTTCAACTGGAGTTTAAATAGAATCCTAAGTAGTAAATCTGGGCTAGAAAGGGAATAAATTGAGTGAGGAGACCGAATTTTCCAATTGAGAATAGCCTGACTTGAGGGGTAGGAATCTGGGGAAGGCCCAGCATTTACAGACTTCAGTTTGCCAAATCCTTAACAAAGGGTTTGGAGTTTCCACCTAGCCTTCACTTTTAAAACACTCAGGGGGTTTCAGTCACATGAGTTCAGATGCTTTGGGACTTTACACAAACAAAGCTTGTTACAGATACAGTGCAACAGAACTAGTGATTGTATATGTATCTATCCCCTTTCTAAATGCAATCTGCTAATCTTCAATGTGTCACCGGATTGTGTTAATATTAAATTAGCAGCAAAGTGAAATTTTCATATAATGCAATTCCATCACAAGCAATCTGAAGATTGTGGGCTTGGGTTTTTTTAAATCTCTTCCCTGAGCAGTAGGATTCCTTTCTCAGACTCATCACTTGCTTTTCGAAAATGGTTCCTATAGCATACACGCATTGCTTTCAGTTTTGCTTCCTGCTGGAACTCATAGTCTGGGCGCCGCTTATAATGAGTAGCATTCAAGGTGGGAGGAGACAACTGTAGAGGGAAATTGCACAGGCCTTCCTGGGTCAGCCTCAATAGCAACCTGTTCAGCAGCCTTCAGTACTCAAAAGACCCTGAGACTTTGAAAGCCCCATTAAACTGAGTTCGTTTGAGATTTAGGCTGATTTAAAACCCAATAAGAAGGAGGTTAACCTAAATCCAGTGAATACATCAACTCCACTTGGCTCCAAAACCAGTGCTAAATCGGCTTAACTGAGGTCCACATAGAGCTGCTAAAAATTCTTTCGACCTGCATAGCACTTGAAAAAAACCTAAAGGCATAGCCTTGAACCTACAATCTGAGAAGCTTATTCAAAACTAGCAAAATCAATGTTAGCTTCAGGTGGAGGAGGAGGACTGCTGCACCTTCTATGCTGTTTATAAAAGCAAGCCTTGCGAACAATGGCAAGGTGAGCAGATCAACCTATAGGTGGTGGACAAATCTATGCTGCTACATAGTTACTTTCTTTTCTCCCCAAGTGCTTGTGGAGGTACGAGCTTGCGTCGGAGGGATGTCCAAGTAAGAAATTATATTCATATTGAGAATTAATTGGACATCAATGATTCCTATTGGATGTTACAAAAATAGCAGCTTTCTTGGGCTAAAATTGTTACCAGTGACGATGATGATGTCAACAGCAGCAGCAACAAAAAAAAGATGAACTACTCTTTTTTCTGCAGATAAATACTGTATATACACATGAAAGCAGACGTCTCACAATCTCTATTTTAAAGATGTTTTGATAAACTCCTTTGCATCCTTCTTAAACACACATAAACATACATATGCACAAACGATGGACATTCTGAGACATATTTTTTCCTAAATACTTTATCTAATGAACTTTCACTTTCACTTCTCCCATTTGCTGTCAATCTATATACTAATTAATAATTCCATCGTTCCCACTGAAAGCTTGCAAGGTCAACAGGTTTCTCGTCACTGGCCCAAAATCCTAGGTATTAGAAGGTTTTACAAAACTCTCACTCCCGTTAATCGAATCTTCCTCCCTGTCTCCAGTGAAAGTGAATTGAAGTTCTAACAATGCAACCTGTTCAATGAAAAGCATCTCGCTCGCTCACTCACTCGCTCGCTCGCTCTGAACCTGACACAGACACTGATGGAGTTCACGTTCAGAAAGAGACATCTCTTGTGAGAGAACAGCTGTACCATGAAGGTCTAGCAAAGTCCACACTTCCTCATCTTCCCTACTCCCCGCACTGAGAATACAAAGAATGGTTATTCTAAAAAAATAATTGGCGTACTTACTTTTCCCTGTTTCATCTCATTTCAAGGGAGAAAGAGGGGCACAGATAGTGGGGGAACGGGTGAATGAGAAGAGAAAAAGAAGGGGGGAAAGGAAGGATAAAAGTGGTCTGATCCCAGATCTAGTTGGATGTAGTGAAATCTTCGGCAGAAAAACAAAAATTCCGTGGCCAAATCCTCCTCTGAAAAGCGCTTGAAAAACAATTTCAGAAAGTTTCCCAAGATTTCAGATCATTCCTTTCGTCATCTCTATGTAGAGCTGGCTGTTTTAGTTCCATGTAGGACACTTGCACGGTTGATTTTTAAAGCGAGTCTTTCTATCCAGCGAAAGAGGGAATTTAAACACACAGTTTTCACGCTAATACAGCATGCACAAAGCACCAGAGTAGAAAGTGAAGTATTGTATGTGAGGCACTCTGCAAGTTTTTTGGAGGGAGGGGGAGGGGGGGTTGGCCCAGGTCTAGCCCAGCCCTCTCTGGTAAGAAGGACGTGCTCTGAAATTCAACCAGTTTCCCCAACGCTTTTGTTGCTCTCGAACTGAAGCCCTATTGTTCGTCCATTGCCACGGTCTTTTTCAGTTGCTGCTATACGTTATGCGTTGCCAGAGATAATGAATTTGCACCAGACCCTCTCCCAGTCCTCTTCTGACAGACGGAACAAATTAGAAATGTCTAGCCTAAACGGCAGCAATGGCTAAATTTTCCAATGGCAGGAAAGATGCATTTTGCGTAGATTCTTCTCTTCATTCTCTCCTTTTCTTTTCTTTTCCTTCTTTCTTCTTCTTTTTAAAAAACGACCTTTTTGTCAAGAGCCCGCCTTCTCACGTTTTTCTTTTTAACGTTTGCTTGCGAAAAAAATTAAGCGACTCTATATCTCTCTTTTTAATTCCTTCCTTCCTTATCTTTTGAGGCAACCCAGCTCTTGTGATTTTGTGCCTTTCCTCCTTCTTGCAAAATTCACATTTAAGTTTCTTTTTAAATCTTATTTGTGTCCTGCTTTTTCCGTAAGTCAGACGGAACGCTGCCGAACACTTGCGCTGGCTCCTCTGTGCTCCCGCTTCCCTGCTTGGTTGCTTAATGCTTTTGTAAACGGGGTATCCTCGTTGCAGAAGGACTTTAGAGGACTTCAGTCCTACTGACTTAAAGAAACTGGCAAAAGAACTGGCCACGAATCAGTTTCTCCGGTAGAGAGCGCGGTGTATTTAACGCGAGAAAGCTAGCATGTGCAGTTAGCAGTGTCCATGTATGTGTGAACACATGACGCCAAATTTGAATGAGTAAAACGCATTTGCCTGTTTGTCTGTGTGCGCTTTCCAACATCAGTGCAAAAGTAAATAAGGATGTATTGTATATTATGTGAGATCAGAGTATGCAGTTTGGTATGTTCAGAGTCTATTTAGGAATATAGTCTTGCGAAAATATATCAGAGTGTATTAGGCTGTAATAAGAGTTCAGGGCCCTACAAGAAAGTCGTTTAGACTGGGCGTTCCTTTCTAAATATGTTCATGTCGGCCGTTTCCCCAGTGGGGCTGTGCTTTGGGGACCATCATATGTCGGTTATGGGTGTGTCTTAAGATGTTCGTAGCTCCTTGTTGAAGACGGATGTCTATGGGAGAGTGGGAGACTGGCGGGGGAGGAGCCATCTGAAGGGGAAAAATTCAAATGAGCATCTCGTATGGAAATATGGGCAGCCATGGGGGATGGGGAGGAAGGGTAAGCCGGTAATGAGAAACAGAAGGAGGGAGGGAAGAAAACCATCTGAAAGCACAGATTTTTCTACCCTGGCAGCAACTTTCCCGCCAAATTTAGCCTAAGGAGAGGTGGCCACTAGTACTCAACTTTGGTGGCTGCCAGCTCCTCCTCCACCAAAGAGACATTTTGATTACCAAATTTCTGCCCCGACCGTGAACAGAAGGCTGACAAAGATCGGAGAAAAAACATATTATATGCAGTAAAAATATAAAGCTCATGAGTCAGGCTTGTGTCCAACAGAAACTGAAACGAAGAGAGACACCGAGATGGGTGCTGCTGCTCTGGAGAACTAGTGTATAGACCAAACAGTTCCAAATTTTAAAGGCTGTCTCAAGGCTATATTACAGACGAATAACTGATGGGGGAAGGAGGTGCTAACGTAAGTTGATTTCCATCTAGATTACAAGGGATGAGAAAGAATTGTATGACTGTCATAGATCACATCAAAGAGATGGTTACAGGAAAGGACAGAAAGTGAGTCAGGCAACACTGAATGAAAGGTGTATTCGTTTTTCTTCAAAAACACAATTAGATAGGCTTGGAGGCTCTGAAAACTCACCTATCCTGTGAAGGACCTCCGATCAGATATTACAACTGATGTGTTCACAAAATGAGGAGAGGAAGGAAAGACAAATGACGGGAAAGACAATTTCCAAGAGACCCCTTGTCGCGGACGACGCCTTCAACCTACCCCACTCCACTTCTTATTGGCTCCTTCATGTTCAAACTAAGGGTCCAATATAATTAAGTACAGAAATCCAGATTACCCTTATACTGGCACTTGCTCCAGACCAGAACAAAGTCAAAAGATGTCTTCGAAATTGAACCCGGAGATACCTATGTGAGAAAGAACAGCTCGATCTCCGTGCATTTTCTGTCCGTTCTCTCACTTTCTCTTTTGCTTTCCTTCGTACCTATGGACTGCACCACTGGGGTCCTCTTTTGCTTCCCGAACCCTCTCTATACACGCCTGTCATCGGTATTT